TCCTCACTCCAGGGGAAGGTTACTGCAAAATCCCCATTTCCTCTGGATCAGCTGGGACTCAGTAAGCAGAGAATAGATGGGGCAGGGCCAGTCAGAGGTGGTATTTACCAGTTCTCCGAACTACTCAAAATTTCTACTATCGGTTCTCCAGAACTGGTCAGAACCTGCTGAATACCACCTCTGGTACACAGCCCAGATTCATGTCAAAGTTAAAATTTGAAGGAATGTGACAGATGTGAATAGAACAAATAAAACAAATCTGGTTTGGTCTCAAGGACTAAAATCAGAAACAAAGTAAGCAGTATCAAAGATTTTCCTCTAGAGTTGTTCCACTTTTTTCTTTCAGCAGCAATGAAACCCCCATCTTATTCTCATCAACAAAGGGAAACAATATAGTTGCAATATTGTATTATTTGTCCATTAAAATAATTAAGTTGACCTTCTTATTAGCAATTGTATCTTTGCTATTGCTGGCTTATTTAACATCAAATATTTATTTAAATAATATTTTAAAAATTATGTATTATTCTATTCAAGCCAATAATAAATTTCAACTTAACCTCCCCCACCCTTTAAATAGTAATCTATTGATTTAGTGTCATGCAAACTTCCTAACAGTAGTTGGGCCATGTACTATACTGTCTGGGATGATTCTCTTTGAAGAAAATTGTCTAGTCTAGGCCAGCTTCCAGGAAAGTAGGTTTATAAATTTGAAATTTTAAGGATTAAATAGGCAAAACTATATGGCAAAATTAGGGATTTTGCCTTATAGAGCAATTTTAACAAATGTGATTCTAAATAAGACTTTTAAAATGCTATACCAACTGGAGCTGACATTATGAAAGCTATGGTGTATAACCGATAATTTCAGTGAAGGTGAAGGCTAGTATTTTAAGATAATTTTTTTTTACAGAGTTACTTGATACTGAAACATACAACTCATACAAACAGGAAATTAATATTATACAACAGTTTGGAGATAAATTAATAATTTGAATAATTGGACAATAAATCATAAAGATGTATACTACATTTTTATACTGCATTTAACCATATTCCTGAACAAAAAAGCTGAAATGTTGATAAATAAATAGGACCATGTTTGTATATTCTCAAATATAAGGCAATAGTTGGATCCTGAAAATATGGTTGCATTTATATGAGCTTAGTTTTTAAAATCCAATAAAATATTTAAGTTTTGAGAATATAAACATATTTACAATTTATGTCACTTATCTACACATGAATAATGTGGGAGATGTGATTTATTCAAGGCCATTATGTGAGTTCAATGACTCACAAACCGCACTTCTCTGATATTGACCTTCAGCAGTTGGTATTGAGAAGCACATTGTATATCAACATGAAGTTTCAACTAGCCACTGATAGAACTATTCTCTATGAAATTGTTTAATTTTATCTTAAAACTCTCTAAGTTAGTGGCCATCACAGTCCTTGAAGCAATCAATTTCTCATCTTGTGACAAATATTTTTTTAACTCATACCAAAGCCATTACCTGGATTCCTTTGTAATAAAGAGAGGGGGAAAAAAACATCAATTTAGTTCTTTCCCAATATTTTATCTCTCTGTGGTCCATCTCTAAATTAAAAAATATTTCTTCATAGGAAAAATTGTATTGTATCACTCTGTCTTTTCTCTAATTTCCTTGTGTGACTACAGATTTTGGCTATTGTATTTTTAAAAAAGAAAATCCAATAAATTCTATGTCAAGGTTCTGACTAATGAACCCACGTTAACCGAACCTGGCACCAGCCATTTTTCTGTTCCTCAGTTGCTTTCTAATTGAAACATGTCTTTTTCCTGCTGCCACTGAACACTCAATTGATAGTGTACAGATCAATGCCAATTAGATTAATACTGTTTAATGTCAATAAAAACCTTCTGTAACAACATAATCCTATGTTGCAGGACAGTATTTCAGGATGAGAAGGTTGGGTTTCCTTCTCCAAATATTGTAATTACCGTATTTCCACCCATATAACCCGCCCACGCAAATAACCCGCCCACGCAA